TGCAGCGTTTCAGAAACTGTTTAGATTAGGCCCCAACATGGTTTGTTAACAGCTCTTCCTAGGGGTATTTGCTGCTGTGTTGTTGCAAGCTGCCTCTGTGCTCCTAGTGCCCAGGACTGTGAAAGCACCAAGATAGACCACCCCCAAGATGCCATCTCGAGTTTTCTGTGAGATCCAGTGAATAGTGGAGCCAAGACTTCCTGCCAGTATTGTTGCCCATGGGCCAGCAAAACTTGAGGGATGCCTACACTCACTTGCTCTCTCTCATACGCACATCCTGCACTTAGATTTTGCAACCTGTGAGACACCAAAGATGCTTCAGCTGGTACTTGTTAGGGAAGAGTGCAGTGAGGGCAGAGTAAGACTCTTATGTCCCCCCCACCCCTTTCACTGGGGTTATGGTGCCAATAATCCTATGGGGCATGCTGCCTGGCTGTTTAAGCCTCCTTGGTTTAAGCAGCCTCCTACTGATGCTTACAACTTGGGTCTCATGCTTAATATGGGTATGTTTTAGCTTTGAGGTACATTAATTACATGTTATTTACACTGGAATTGTTTTCAGGGAGTGTCCAGACTCCACTTACAAGAACTGGTGATAATTAAGGGTACAAAAAGCTTTATAACCACAGAACAGCACTGTGATTGTAGTCTAGCCACCACCTAACTGTCCTAGCACAGCAGTAATACAACACAGTGATCATGGTGTAACTCCAGCACAACTTCACTATGACTGCATTGTAACTACAGTGCAGCTACCCAGTGACTGTGGCACAACTTTAATTACCCTGACTGCACAGCTATGACAAGACTACCTAATAATCCATGAACTATGCTATCGCTACGGATTTATATGAGCACTCATGGTGCTCTGGTGTGGTGCCAGAGGACTGGAAAAGGGCCAATGTGGTTCCCATTTTCAAAAAAGGGTGGAAGGAGGACCCAGGAAACTATAGGCCAGTTAGTCTTACCTTGATCCTGGGTCAGCTGCATGTCCACAAGGGGCCAGCAGGGGAGATTACGCTTAGGGGCAACCAACATGGGTTCATTAGAGGCAGGTCCTGTCAGACCAACCTGGTGGCCTTCTATGACCAGGTCACAAAATCCTTAGACGCAGGTGTAGCAGTGGACGTAGTATTTCTGGACTTTAGGAAGCCCTTCGACACTGTCCCTCACTCCATTCTCATTAAAAAACTAGGGGACTGTGGCGTTGACATCTACACAGTCAATTGGGTCACTAACTGGCTGAAGGGTTGCACCCAGAGAGTGGTGGTGGACGGGTCTTATTCAACCTGGAGGGATGTGGGCAGTGGGGTTCCGCAGGGCTTGGTCCTTGGGCCTGCGCTGTTCAACATCTTCATCAGCGACTTGGAGGAGGGGTTGAAAAGCACCCTGTTCAAATTTGCAGATGACACCAAGATGTGGGGGGAAGTGGGCACGCTAGAAGGGAGGAATAGGCTACAATCGGACCTAGACAGGTTACAGGGGTGGGCAGATGAGAACAGGACAGGTTTCAACACTGACAAGTGCAAGGTGCTGCACCTGGGGAGGAAGAACCAGCAGTATACCTACAGGCTGGGGAACTCCCTTCTTGTCAGTGCAGAGGCAGAAAAGGATCTTGG